GGCAACCGATCCCACGTTTCTCACGTCCATGTTTCTCTCCCAATCCCTTCCTCTCTCCAAAAACAATCAATAAATACATATTTAAAAAATAAAAATAAATTTAAATAGCTATTTTATAGCAATAAAAAATGGAAATTGGAGAACTTTCTATTTGCATGTGTTTTTCAGAAACCTAGACTAGATCACAACTCCATTTCACTTTCAAGCTGAAAAATATTAGTAAGCCCGAGTTTGAAAGAAAAAAAAAAAACTCAGAATCTAAGTCAGGCCTCTGACACCTGGAGGCTGAGTCCTGGGTCTGCCTGGGTCTCTGACCACAGCGCTCGGCATATTCCAGGTGCTGGTCCCACAAGGGGGGAATGTTGAGCTTTCTCTGGAGACCCCTGGTGCGGTCACTTTTTGCTCAAATTTGTCAAATAAAATCTCTCAGAAGTCCTCCAATGAAAAGCAGAAAATATAATGGCCTTGCCCAGCTGCTGTGGCTCAGTGGTGGAGCATCCTCCCGTGGACCGAGAGGTCGCCAGTTTGGTTCCCAGTCGGCACACGCTGGGTTGTGGGCTCCATCCCCAGGAAGGGGAGTACAGGAGGCAGCCAATTGATGTTTCTCTCTCACTGATGTTTCTATCTCTCCTCCCTTCCTCTCTCAAAAATCAATAAAAAACACATTAAAAAATATATCAAATGGACATGATTCAGATGAAAATGTTATTTCCAAGAAAACCACAATTTAAAAAAGCCTCTGAATAATGGCGAGCCTAGAAATAGACGTTCACGTAGAAAACCTCCTGATTCTACCCGGAGGGGTACAATCACTTCTGGAATTGAGGGGTGCAGGCCACACTGCTAAAACATACTGTATCCAACTCAGCAGGTTCTATACAAGCCATTTATTTGAAATGCCAACTATATGTAGGATAAAGTCAGTGTTACATGCTTATCAGTAACAGTAGAAAAATAGAACCAGTGAAAACCTTTGTACAACGGTAATGATACTCAAAAGAGAAATGTATCGTTTTACAATGCTTCACACAGACAAATTCAAGTTTGGAGGTACCTAAATAAAAATACTATATATTTCCTTAAAAAACACTATGTACAATTGAAGCGTAAACAAGTTTTACAAAGTACTGGTTATGCAGGTTGTAGAAAACACTTGCATAGGACATGAAATCAGTTTAAGAAAAATTTCTGAGCCTTTAGCATTGAAGGCACTTGACTTTATACCAGTAACAGCACAACCACAAGAAATGCAGTGTTGTAGAAGTACCACCTCTCCGGAGCACAGATGTGGCACACAAACAGCAAGTGAAGTTCAGGAACCTTGACCTTTCAGCCACCCCATCTAGGAGCAAGGTTCCGACACCTGCCCACGGGACAGCCACGTGCAGGTGCACAGCGAAGCTTCCAGAGCCCATCTCCTCTCTCAGAGCCCACGTGACACACAAACACAAGACACACACTTGCAAGTAAATCTTTCTATAGCAACGGCCACAGCATTAAAATATTCAGAATATGGAAGATTGACACATGGTCTGAGGATTTGCTAGAGGAAAGAAAAATTAAAAGACTTGCCAATACAACAATTACATAACAACTATTTCAATTTATCGGACAAAAAGACAACTGAACATTCATAAAATGTTGTTCATACAACAGTGTTGATGGAAAATAGTAAAATAAAATACCTTTTAGTGTGTGATGGTAACTCTCACTAAGGTTATCTGTAATGAGGTTTGAAAGTAAATTACTTAGTAGATGAAGTAAACCATGGCAGAATCGGGAATAGCACCCATCACTGCTGCTTTAACAGTAACTTTCAATATAAAGTTGAAAGTCAATCAAATAATTAAAAAAGTCAAATAAACATTTCCTTTTGAGTTCAGTCCTAAGATAAAAACATGAATGCCTTAGAATTGCAAAACAAGTATCTTACAAGTGTTTCACGAAACACATTTCCCCTAAAAGCAGATTAAACTTTACAAAAATCCATACTGTACTGAGAAGTTACTGAGAACGTCACCCCTCCTCCGGAGACCGACACGCAGGCCCTGCTGCGCAGGTGCTGCTCCCCTCACACGCCACATCATCACCTTCGTTCAGTGCACAAGTACTGTCCACTGCTAGAACTTGAAAACAAATCAAAAGAAAACCCAACAAAGGATAGCAATAATAATAAAGTGTTTTTGAGGGAGCAGAAACAAGAATTAGGTGAGGTTTCAGAGTTCTACAACAAGACTCAAATAAAAGGACTTCATTAAAAATCCTTAATATCCAACTGGTTATCAAAATTGCAGGAGAACTTAGGTCTAGGAACACGTGCCTAGAAAAAGCTGAAGGGGCCTGAGAAAGGGTATATGGATGTGGAGAATCTGAACAACCATTTTTCAGGAGTAATTTTTGCCTTTCATGCTTTTTTCCCTTAGGAGTCACAGGTGACTTTGAACTTAAATTAGTCATCAAAATCACAAAACTAAAAGAAAAATGTAAGACCAAAAGCATCTTGAAGAAACGCTGATGTTCTCTTTCTGATCCAGGATCAAATAGTAGTTCCCTACCCTCAACAAGGTGGGCACCCAAGGTGGCGATTGTCTGACGGCCTGATTGTCTGGGGCCTCGAGAAAGATCTGGTATTCTGAGATTTGGTTCTCATGAAATTTCGACACCAAATAAAATGCCAGGTCCTGTGGCCAAATTTTATATTATACATGTGGTGTTGTTTTTTTAAATTCTGAGAGCAATCCTACTCAGACTTCACATTTCTCTTACTATAGCATTAAAATATTTTAATGCTTAGTAAGCATTTGAAAAGATTGAATAGATGAGTTCACAAGCCAGAGGCACAGAGCTCTTCAACCTACCCTATTAACCATACTTCACAAGACACGCTGAAAGTCTGCTAACACCTACCCAAACACACACCCACCAAATCTGTTTATCTTCTGCAAGTAACATCAGTCCACAGTCCCATAGGTTAAAGCAAGTTTCTCTTTGTACAGGTAGTTTAGCCAGGTAAGCTACTAAATTATTAAAAGCAAACTTCATAAATTAAACAAAACTATGAACAGTGGCCACTTACTTTCATAACTATACTTTGGAGACATGAAAGAATACTTCATAAATTTTCAGAAGAACAAATGTGTGGCATCAATAGCTCTTGTCTAATTTTTTTTTTTTTTTTAAAGAGATGATCAAGTTTTTTCCACCCAAATTAATTCTACTCACTCTTATTTGCAGTACCAGCACAATACAGTCTGAATTCGGAATAGACATTTAAAATTACATCAAAATAATTCATGTCAACACAGGTATAGAAACACACATAAAGGACTACAGTGGAATTCATAATTTCGTTTTTAAGAGACAGACTGAGATTGGCTTCAGAAGACACCATCATCTATTATAGAGTTAAACCTCCTAAAAATGAGAAGTCATTCCTGTTTTTCTACCTTTACAAAAGGGAGCCTCAGAGGCGATGTGAAGCCGACTTGACAGTAGGCGAGTTAAGTCTGTCGCTCAGCACGCAACGTCAGCAACAGGCACGGACGCACCAGCAGCAGCTAACGAGTCAGGCAACAGAACGAGGCAGCATCGTGCGGTGTCCACAGACATACCGATGCTTCCCATCAGACGACCTACCATTAGGGTTTTTTAAAAATGTCAGATTATTCCTGAGTGTATATCCACAGGGTAAAGTAGGAAAAGACTGTAAGAGAATCTACAGTTTCGGGAGAAATCAGACTTGTTGACACCCAATAGAAACCTATTGATTTAAAAGTGCATGTAATTCATTTATATGGTAGCTTGTAAAGGCTCCCTAGCCCTGCATAGTTTTAGAGTGAGTGTCAGTGATTCATAGTTTCATATATATGTATATATATATATATATATATACATACACAGAAAAGAGGTTCCCAAACATCCTTCATGAGGGAATGTGCAGAAAGTCTCTTTTCTTCTAAGTGCTACGGCTGTGTATGTGTCTGTAAAAATACAAAGTGAAAGCTCAAATAATGTTGAAGTGATTTAAAACTCAAACACTAATATATTTACATTGGAGAGTAAGAAAAAGTCCTTAGCTCACACATTGCCCTTCCAAGGGAGAGGATCTTAGAAGATCCCATGTGCTCAATGGTTCAGTAAAATCCCAAACCAGCGTCCCCAGTGGAGTTCAAGTAGGACATGTAGTGTTTCACTTAAAAAAAAAAAAAAAGTTTTTCTCTTTTGGTGAAGAAGCATTATGCATTATACAACTTTTTATAGGACACCAAAATTCAGACACACTTTAAAAAACACTTAAAAGAAAGCATTTGTTTACAAACACTAAGTGACATCTGTAAGACTGAAGCCCTTTGATTTTTGTTTTCCTAGAGAGCAAGACGACTGAAGGCAGCAAGCAGTCACTCCGTGTCAGCTGGACAGCGATGACGCTCAGAACCAGAAATTCCCGTGCGCCTGTGGGTTACTTCGCTATCTCCACAGCTTTCGGATTCCAAGAACGCCGATCTCTTTAGAATCTCATTGTGATTCTCTAATCCACACTACCAGAATTTGCAGTGTTTCTGACAGTGTCCACACTGTGAACACAGCCAACAGCTTTTCAGCCTGGGCACAAAAGGCTTTTTTCCTTCCTGTTTTCCACTGACTAGAAAACTCCAGGATCCTGATTGGACTCCCACTGAAGGAACGAAGACCAGCTCCCAAGACTTATTAAAAAAGAATGACAACAGATTTATAGAGATTGAGCAGGAAGATTTCTGAACCAAAGTAATTACTGAAGAGAGGAGCATTTTGATGTGCTGTTCTTTGGAATTTCTATAATTAAAAAATAAACACAGAACTATTTCATAAGAAAATACATCTTAGTGTGCAATCCAATGCACGTGGAAATTGGTAGATGAATGGTAAAATGCAAAAAGTATGAAAATACAGTCCTTTAAATGTGGCAATAAAGTTTAACTTACTGATATAAAACCAATACAGATAAAATAAATGTACAAGTGCAAAAAATTCCATCATCTGTAAAGAGAAAAAAAAGTGCCAGCTTGCTTGCTCTGAAAAATGCTTCCCCACACAATTGCTCAAATACGAGACAGACAGATGCAGCATTCAAAACAACCCTCTTAGCATGCCATGTCTACTAAACACATGTTACAAAAACTGGAATAAAAGAACTCGAAACAGAGCTATTAGCTGGCATCAATAAACTGGTCTCTAAGTTGCTGGGTTACATAGTAAAATGGGATGTCTCACATCTCAGGCACAGACGACTTGGAGGTTGCTCTCAGAGGGCAGACTTTTTGTAGAGGAAGTCTGGTTTGCTTGGTGACCTCCTTCCTCTGCTTACTGAATCCTCCCTTTCCAAATCTGTACTCCGCTGAGCTCCGTGGCCCAGGGACTCACTGTCTGCTAGTCTTCTACTTGATCTCTCCTCTGGAGCTTCAGAACTACATGCAGAATGTGAAGGTCTGTTGGGAGTCAGCCCAAAAGTCAAGTCAGTTTCTACTGCTGTCCGTCCCCTGACATGTGCTGGACCGCTGCCAGCATTTTCTGGGCTCGCCAGAGGAAAGTCTGACCGCTGGGAAGGTTGCTCAACAACATCGAGGTGTATCGGCTCATTCTTTTGTTTGTGTAGATGCCCGTCAGGGGAAAGTGGATATTCTCTCCTAGCTTCTTCCTGCTTTTTAGGAGAGGTCTGGCCAGGTAGGTAGGCTGACTTTAAGCCACTTGGTGATGCCTTATTGTGGCTATACAAATCAGGACCAAAATATCCACCTTGTGAAGGAGAAGGGGTGCGTCTGCCAGGAGCGGGAGTGGAAGGTCTGCAAGCAGCATTTGAGAAGTCATAGAAATCCGGATACTCCTGCTGATTTTCTCGAGCGTCCGTTTTTTGCTCTAGTGTGTGTTTCTTTCGAGACGTGTGTGTAAGCCTCTGTGGGACACACGATAGATGCTGGGGAGGCCCTGGGCCTACTTCAGAAACTGACTGGCTTAATTCTGTGTCTACAGCAAGTTCTGGAAGCCTCCTGTCCTTGAGTGACAGTGTGGACACACCCATGGCGATGTCTGGCATTAGATCATTTAACACAGGTTGTGTACACTGTAAAAAGAAACAAAGGGGAGGGGTGGTTAAAAGAATATGGCCCTTCTTTGTAAAAATGACATTCACTGATTTTGTTTCCTCATTATAAAATTAATACATGCTTACTTTTAAGAATAAAAATACAGACAACTAAAGGCAGAAATCAGAAATAACCCTAACCTTCCCTGAGATAACCACCTGTTAGCATTTTGAGCTATTTCTCTCACCTTTTATTCTTTACATAGATATTATCACAAAATTTAGTGTATATATAATTCTGTCACCAAATTTTCTTTGAGATTCCTATCCAAATTACTGCGCAATATTCCATTGTGCTGATGACTTATTTAACCTTTCTGCCACTGTTGGACATTAAGGTTGTTTCCAATTTTTCATTATTATAATTAAAACTATAATGAACATACAAATAAATTACCTTTAAGGGGAGTTTTTTTAATGGAATTTATTGGGGTGACATGGGTTAAAGTATATAGGTTTCAGGTATACAATTCTAGAATATACCATCTGTATTCTAGATGTACAGTATTACGTGCTCACCACCCCAAGTCGAGTCTCCTTCCATCACCATTTATCCCTCCTTTACCCTCTTCTACCTCCTCCAACCCCCTCAAGGGGAGTTTTATTTAAAATATAAACTAGAACTTTTGTAACTATAGAACTGAGAGCCAGGCCAATAAGATGGGGATTTGGTTTACCAAACACTATCAGCTTTTGTTGCTTCTTCTTTCTGGGGGGGGTTGGGAGGGCATAGCAGGGGGAATGGTAGAAGGGTATAAGGAGAGGAAGGATCACAATTTGATCCAAGGTGTACACCAGTTCCTAGATTCCAAAAGCCTCATTTTAATGAAGATTTCCTGAATTAATATATGTGTCTTTTCTCTATTGAATGTTACTGACTGTGTGTGACAAACAAGATGACTTAAAAACCATTATTATTTTTTTATGTACTATATAAAACAAATTCAACCTCTAATGCAGTGTAAAATCAAGCAAAGCAGTCTCACTGAATTTACTAGCTACTGTGCTAACTACTGTGGCTCCAAGTGAGGGCTCTGATGAACAGCTTGCCAGAGGCAGACAGGCACAGACACTGCTTTCCTCAGTGGGAAGTTCCTGCCACAGTTCCTGGCGGACGCTTCCTGCACTGTCAAGGCGTTTGGTAGAGCAGCAGATTCTGCAGAATGGAAGTCAGGGACACACTAGACATGTGCTTGCACAGAGCACATGAAGTCGCCAAGAGCCCTTTATGGTGCCCAGCACCGCCACCTCTTCCTAAAGAAAAAGAAATATAAAGCTGGCATTCAACTAGCCCACCACATACACTTCCGGTCTCTCTTCTCTGTCCTTTCTCCCCACCTGCACTCTCTTCCTCTCTTTTCCATACCACTCAAGTCTATACTTTCAGCTTGTCAGTACTAGTTCTGGGCATTGCTGAGTTTCAGCAGGGCTCTTGGGGCCAGGGGAATTGCTTCTGCTACTCCATAAACTTTTCCTTTAGGTAAGTTCCTGGAGCACTAACTTACCATTTGTTTCTCTGACGGTACTGCTGCTGAGGTGGCAGCGGCGGCCACTGTCTGCCTCCCCGGTCCTGCAGTGTTGGTGCAGTCCGGTGCTGCAGCTTTAACACCTGGCAGATAGACTGGAGGGGGGCCGGCTTTCGGAGCCGTTCTGGAGTGAAACAGTGAATGATTACAGGGATAAGAAAATGAACGTGAAGGATGCTGACTGGGAGGTCTTTGCTTCCAGCCTGCTTTGAGTTGGTTATGGATGGGAGTAGCTGGGGGGTGGTACGGAGGTGGTGGAGGGGGCAAGGGTGGATGGAAGGCCACAAAAGAGTCTAGATCTGTAAACATGGTTTCTGCAGTGGGGGTGCTGTTAACACGACATCTCCCAGACTGTCTCATTGTCAAGAGCGGACTTTCATCCCCAAAACGTTCATCAGGAAAGAACTTGTGAGGATTCTAAGAAAGATTAAAAAGAGAGAGACTTATTAGCATATCTCATAGATGAAAATTCATAAGCTGACAGAGTTAAGTGAGGACCTATGAAAACCACATTCAGCAAGAGTAAAAGGCATAACATATTTTTCTTTCTTTTTTGTTTTGTTTTTTTAATTTTTTATTTATTTTTTTGTTACAGATATTTTACCTTTTTTACCCCATAACATATTTTTCTAAGCCACAAGCTTCCAAGAAAAAATTACCTTAACAATAGTACAAAAAGAGAGAGTGCAGCCTACCATACAGCTATCAAAAACAGCTGCTTACCTGCTTATTCCAGCAAGCAGGTCAGCAATCTCTTTCAAGATAATATGGAGAATGAAAAAACAGGAAATAAAGCCTAATTCAAACATGTCTTTGCTAAGAAAATAAAATGACCAATAAACAGCAAAGGCTTTTTGACAATGCATGAGTACTCTGTCTGATATTAAAACTACAAAATACTGTTCCTTACCTATTACATAGGAATAAGATAGATTGATATTTTAATAAACATAAGAGAAAACTTAAATTATAAAACTTTTATATAATTTAAGATATAAAATTAAGATATAATTTAGAATGGCAAAGGAAAAAGAAATGAATATAAAATAAGACTCCCTTTGCAGGGATGGAAGCCGTAACAAACAAAAAAAATCAAGAATCCATAAAAGGCCTACTGTCAAGCCTACGAACACCATATCATGTTCCCCTCTGAAGACTTAGGCTAACGGGGCTTAGAGTCTGTAGCAAGAAAATGATTCAATAACTTGATCAAATGAAATTAAATTTTATTTTAGGTTCTGATTTAATGGTCTTAAGAGTTCCCCCTTGTCAGAGGTCTCACTTGCCACAGTTTTAGTTACCTGCAGTAAACCAAGGTCCAAAATACTACGTGGAAAATACTAGAAATAAACGATTGGCAAGTTTTAAACTGTGAGCCATCCTGAGTAGAATGATGAAATCTCGAATCACCCTGCCCTGTCCTGCCTGGGATGTGAATTATCTCTTTGTCCAGTCTCCATGCTGTATATTCAGTACAGTAAGATATTTTGAGAAAAACCACCTTCACATAACTTATATTACAGTGCTGCATATTGTTATAATTGTTTTATTTTATTATTAGTTATTGTTTTAAGCTGCCTAACTTTATCTTGAACTTTACTGTTTAACCTGCCTAACTTGATCATAACCATGATCATGTACAGGAAAAAACAGAGCACATACAGGGTTTGTTCGGTACTATCTGCAGCTTCAGGCATCCACTGGGGTCTTGGAATGTATCCCCCTGAACTGTGGGGAGGCTACTGTACTTCACAAATTCTACCTTCATTGCAAAACCAATGCCATTGCCTCTGTACTAATAATGACTAGAAATGAGATTTTCCTGCTAGTTAAGAAAAACAACTCATTTCTTGATTCTAGTACCTACAGGGTTCAAACCATCATGTAAGAACGGTTCTTTGTAATAAGGAAGAGGAGAAGAAAGGGTGGGGCATCTGGAAGACCTGTAAAGTCTGATAGTGGCCAAAACCTGAAATCTAGTGACCAAATCGGGGGGGAAGAGCGGTAGAGAACCAGAATTTTCTCCTGTGTCTTTCATTTCTGCTGGGCATACACACCACGAACTTGTATATTATACCCACAGTCACCATTTATGTTTATTACATACAAGAGACATAATTCCTTTATATTAATGCACCTCTTATCTTCACAACAATCCACATAACATAAAAGGAAATTGATGCTCAGAGTGGTTAAGTAACTGCTCCAATTAACCAGCTGGTAAGGAGCAGAGCCAGGATATAAACCCAGTTTCACTCCCGAGCCTGTGCTTCGTCCACTCTTCCACAATGCCTCTCAAGGGTAGCTAGCACACTGGAGGCAGAGAAAGAGCACGGATTCAGAAAAAGACCCGTGCTGGGAGCACTCCTGCCATGTCTACAATACTGCCTGGATAATGATCCCGGCTCCCTCTCTGAAACAGTGTAATCCAGTTTCCCACCTGCAAGAGCTCTGCAGCAGCATCGGCAAGACCAAACTCTCTCAGCACACGGATCTGGATTTCATAGCTGACCGTGGCGCCTTCCCCACAGTTCAGCGCATAGGCTCTCTGCACCTGCTCAGTGTGTCGGAGCTCCTGCAGACGTCTGACCATGTCCTTCAAAATGAGGAGACGAGGAACTGGAAGATAGCAAACGGTCTGTAGGTAAATACCTGAGCTACACAAAAAAAATCCATTGAGCACAAGGGGAAAAAAGCATGTATTTTGCATTAGAATCTTCTTATAAATTGTTATAATATTGTAGTTTCCTGGCACCTTAATATTACATATACTTTTAATTTTTTTTTTTTATCCTCACTCGAGGACATTTTTCCATTTTTTGTTCAGATAGAGCGGGAGGGAGAGAGAGGAAGAGAAAGAGAGAGAAACATCGATGTGAAGGGACACATCGAGTGGCTGCCACCCGCACGACCAACCAGGGCCGGGGACAAACTGCAACCGAGGTATGTGCCCTTAGCGGGAACCAAACCCGGGTCACTCTATACCACAGGCCGATGCTCCAACCGCTGAGCCAAACCGGCCAGGGCTACTTTTAATATTTTAAAAAATTTTTAAATTCATTGATTGGTTTTAGAGAGGGACGGGAGAAGAAAAGAGAGAGAGAGAGAGAGAGAGAGAGAGAGAGAGAGAGAGAGAGAGAGAGAGAAGCACATCAATTTATGCTTTCATAGGTTAATACTTGTATGTGCCCTGACCGGGAATGAACCCACAACTTTGGTGTACGGAGACAACACTCTAACCAACTAAGCAACCCGTCCAGGGCTACTTTTAATTATTTTTTAAGGTTTTAATATTTCACTGTGCCCAAAAAACTCTTGATAATACTGAGCAGCTCCTGAGCTATATTTTTAGTTCAGAGCTTAATGAAATTTTACTTGTATAATTCTCTTCTGAATCTCAGTATATTTCCTGAATTTAAAAAATTTATTCAATTTTTTTTTTTTAATCCTCACCTGAAGACACACTTAAAGAGAGGAAAAGGGAGCCCGGCTGGTGTGGCTCAGTGGTTGAACACCACCAACCCATGCACCAAGAGGTCGCCAGTTTGATTCCCGGTCAGGGCACATGTCCAGGTGATGGGCCCGATCCCCAGTGGGGGCATGCAGATGGCCAATTGATGTTCTCTCTCATTGATGTTTCTCTCTCTCTCTCTTTCTAAAATCAATAAAGAAGCCCTAGCTGGTTTGGCTCAGCAGTTAGAGCATCAGCCTGCGGTCCAGAGAGACCCAGGTTCAGTTCCTGCTAAGGGCATGTACCTTGGTTGCAGTTTGTCCCTGGCCCTGGTTGGGTCATGTGGGTGGCAGCCACTTGATGTGTCCCTTTCACGTCAATGTTTCTCTCTCTCTCTCTCTCTCTCTCTCTCTCTCTCTCTCTCTCTCCCCTCCCACTCTATCTGAACAAAAAAAAAAGGGAAAAAGGAAAAATGTCCTCGGGTGAGGATAAAAAAAAATAAAGAAAGAAAAAAATTAGAAAGGGGAGGGAAGAAGGGGGGAAGAGAGAAACATCCATGCAAGAGAGAAACATTGACTAGTTGACTGCTATAGTAGGTGCCCTGACAAGGGGTCGAATGTATAACCCAGGTATGTGCTCTGACAGGGAATCGAACTGGCAACCCTTTGGTGCACAGGATAACTCTCAACCAAGTGAACCACTCTGGCCAGGCATCATCATCATCATCATCATCATCATCCATTCAATTTTTTGTTAATCTTCACCAGAGGATATTTTTAAAAATGTTTTTACTGATTTTTTTAGAGATAGAGAGAAACAACAGTGTGAGAAACATCGATCAGCTGCCTCCTGCACACTCCCTACTGGGGATCGAGCCTGCAACCCAGGCATGTGCCCTGACTGGAAATTGAACCAGTGACCTCTTGGTCCATGGGTCAACGCTCAACCACTGAGCCACATGGGCTGGGCATTCCAAGGATATATTTTCATTGATTTTTTTGGACAGAGTGGAATTGAGGGGGAGGGGAGAGAAACATCAATGTGAGAGAGGCACATCAATTGGTTGCCTCTTGCATGACCCCAACCAAGGCTGGGGATTGAACCTGCAATCCAGGTATATGCCCCTGATTGGGAATCGAACGCAAGACCCTTCAGTCTATGGGCTGATGCTCTAACTAACTACTGATCCATACCAGCGAGGGCAGGGCTTCACTCTTTTATTCACATAACTTTTGAGTCCTATGCACTAGGGCAGTGGTTCTCAACCTGTGGGTCATGACCCCTTTGGGGGTCGAACCACCCTTTCGCAGGGATTGCTTAAGACATAACAGTAGCAAAATTACAGTTATGAAGTAGCAACGAAAATAATTTTATGGTTGGCTGTCACCACAACATAAGGAACTATATTAAAAGGTTGTGGCATTAGGAAGGTTGAGAACCACTGCACTAGGGATTGGACTCATGTATTAGGGTGCAAGAATAAAGAGTGATCCCTGACCTCAAAGAACTCTGGTTTTAGTGAAGTAATCCAAGTAAACCAGTCCAGTACAGGGCCACAAATAGTCATGGAGAGAAATATGCAAAGGATATTGAAGGGATTTGGAGGAAGGGGCCCCAACCTGGACTGGAAGCAGACAGGATAGATTTACTAGACAAGGTGAACCCTGAGTGCAGACGTGAAGAATAAGAGAAAACTAAGCATGCAAAGAATGCGGAATGAAGGCTTTCTGAGCAAAAGGACTAGGCATGTGTAAAACATGTAAATGAGAGACAGCATGGCAAAAGGAGCTGGCGTGGCTAGAATTTGGGGTTCAAAAGTACAAGCAAGAAGAGCATTAAGAGAGAAGTCTAGAAAGATGGGTGGGGCAGATCATGAATGACACTGCATGTCACAATAAGGAATTTAAATTGTATCTCGTGTACAACAGGTAGTCACTTGCGCAGGGAGTAACAGGATCAGAGCTGTGATGTGGTAAGTGCACTCAGAGTAGTGTCAAGCAAAAGTCAGCAAACTATGGCCTGTAGGCTACATCAGACCTGTTGGCTGTTTTTTTGTTTTGTTTTTTTAATCCTTACCTGAGGACATTTTTTTTGCATTTATCTTGAGACAGAGCAGGAGAGAAAGAGATAGGAAGAGAGAGAGAGAAACATCGATGTGAGAGAGACACATCGAGTGGTCACCACCCACACAACCCCAACCGGAGCCGGGAACAAACTGCAACCAAGGTACATGCCCTTAGCGGGAACCAAACCTGGGTCTCTGGTCCACGGGCCAATGCTCCAACAGCTGAGCTAAACCAGCCAGGGCTGTTGGCTGTTTTTGTAAATAAAGTTTTACTGACACAGCCACACCCATCTGTTTAGGTACTGTCTATGGCTGCTTTTGGGCTACAACAGCAGAAATGAACAGAGCTGAATAGCTGTGACAGAAACTGCATAACTCACAAGCCTATAATATTTACTATCTAGCATGTCACAGAAAAACTTTGCTGAGACCCAGTGTATAGTTCAGAAGGAGAGTGACTGAGGTTAGGGGCAGAAACACGAGTTAGAAACCTGGAGTAAGGCTGCAGCAGAGGATGGGGAAGACGGAATGAGGTCCACAAACATTATGAGCCAAATTGACTATTATTTTGGGGGTAGGGGGAGCTATTATTTTTTTAATCCTCACCCGAGAATATTTTTCCATTTATCTTCAGACAGGGTGGGGGAGGGGGAGGGAGAGAGAAACATGTTGTGAGAGAAACACATCGATTGGTTGACTACTGCATGATCCTGACCAGGGCCGGGGACCGAACTACAACCAAGGTACATGTCCTTGACTGAAATTGAACCTAAGACTCTTTGGTCCATGGGCCGACACTCAAACTGCTGAGCCAAACCAGCCAGGGCAAGGGGAGCTATTATTGAATACTTGCTTAGGCATACTCCTAAGCATATTATTCAACCCTACAAAGGAGATATCCCCATTTTGCAGATAAGAAAATTAATGCATAGGGAAGTAGACAGCTTGTCCAAAGTCATACAAATGAAGTGGCAAAGCCAGGATATGAGCCCATGAGTCTTCTCCAATAAGCTAGATAGCCTTTCATTAGTATGGTAAGCAAGTTAGAATCAGGGTGACACCAGATTAGGGTTAAACAACAGAAAATAGTTCAACAAAAGACAAGCCTTATTTTTCTGAGCATGCTTAATTGAAAGTATGTTTGGGCTTTTGAGATTCAGTTCTAAGATTAAATTATGTTGCTATTCGAGTATTAACTCAAGCTGATAAAAACAGTGCTAATTATAAAAGCTTCCAAATCTACACAAATCAGCTACAGAAATATTTCTCTTTATACTGTAATCCAATACATACTTTAAATAAACCTGATAAAGCAACCAGAGATCAAATTCTAGTCCCAGAACAAAACGTATGTGTTCAATTAGAAGTTGCCATTATGTCTTTTATTTTTCCTTTCCTGAAACCGACATTTATAAGCAGAAAATGAATGGTGCCATTTCCAACAATGCTATAGTTTGCTCATTTTTTAATGTTGCAAGAGAAATTGGCAAGAGCTATACATTTCTGTCCCCATTTGCACTGATAGTTTCCTTACCTGAGAAAGTGTCATTAGGGCCCTCTGGTTAAACTAAACATTAACGGATGTTCAGAAGATTTTGGACATTGACAGCCTATGGCCACTTTTCTCAGAGTTGTAAGACATAAGCCTATACATTACAATAATATTCACAGACCAGATCTTTGGAAACTGGATCTTCAGGAAACTGATGATGATCATATTTTTTTGAAAAATATGTACACTCAAAGATGTAAGTTTATAATACTCTCCCCAATGGGTTTTAGGGTGAGAAACACCCTATGGTGATAAAATATCTGAATTCCTCTAAACCAGTGGTTGTCAAGAGGAGGTGGTTTTGCCCCACAGTGTGCATTTGGCAATGTCTAGAGACAAAAGTGTTTTCAAAAGGTTACAAAGGGATGTGTGTGTGTGCTACTGGCATCTAGTGAGTCCAGGCCAGGGATGCTGCTGAACATCCCACAATACACAAGACAGCCCACAACAAAGAATTATCCAGCCCTAATTGCCAAGAGGGCCAAGGCTGAGAAACCCTGGGTGGAGCTGAAAACTGCATATACCTGTTACTATAAAACAAAATTCAAAACAAAAAACTTAGCTTATAAGTATTCATTCTTTGAGGAGAACAATGCATAGTGGGTACTGGAATGGGGAGAGAATTAGCATATATAAAGGGATTACAAAAAGATCGAATTATTTAAGTATAAATGGCTAAAACAAGGTTACTGCCTTACCTGGAATTTCATTGGCTACCACGGAGGGAGGGCTCGACTGGTTACTGCTGATCTGCTGGTGGCTGATCATGTGACAGCACTGTGGTACCGCATTATTGACCATGTAAAGTGTGTCCGGAACATTGGACATTCTAACCATTCGCAAACGCACAAGATCTGTTTGTTCCACCATCATCTCATCTAGCACTGACTGAAATGACAATTCAGTATTAACAGAATCAGTCAACCTTTCATCTCTGTTAAATCACATTTGGAGAAAGATGACTACCTTCATCATATAAAAAGGGAATTACTTTATTGTTCCCAATGTATGAAGTTTACAATTAGTGGTGAAAGGAGAAAGTACCTCTACCCTTTTTAATTTTTAAAGGATCTTTTGGAGTATCTTTAAAAAAAACTATAATCAAGTTCTGAAAAGTTTCCTTTTAATTGAAATATTTGAAATTTAAAGGAAGGATATATAATTAATCAGAAGTAAATTACACATAAAGTTACTAGAAAGAAAACATGTATACATGGGCTAAATATCAGTTCAAAAAAGAAACCCCGGCCAGTGTGGCTCAGTTGGTTGGGCATCACCCCTTGCACTGAAAGATTGCTTTTTCGATTCCGGTCAGGAACATGCCAGAGCTGCAGGCGCAATCCCCAGTAGCGGACATGCAGGAGGCAGCGATCCGTGTTCCACTCTCACATCTGTTTCTCTCTTTCCCCCTCCCTTCCTCTCTTTCTAAAAACCAATTAAAAAAAAAAAAAAGAAATGCTCAAAAGACAAAATATTAAAGAATGATATAAAATTGAACAGACCTATACATAAACCGTTAAAATCAGTTTTAGATTAATCTATTTCACTGAACTGCAGAATAGTCAAAATGACATAATATATAAACATTTTCCACATGTACTGGGGCAATTATCTACTTATGTATAGGCCCAGCCACCTGAGAAACAGGGAAGCTCCAGGAGGACTAGTGATGAGCTTCCTTTTTGAGACAGCAGAATGGAGAGCAGGTCTAGTTTATTCCAGACCTTTTATCACCAGACTCAACCTTTTGTAAAGGCCTCAGCTGCTTCAGTGAGTTTAAGTATTGAGCTTATTTCAAAAAGACCAGGCACAATCATTCTGCTTTTTTCCTTTTTTATAACTTTTTAAAATGTCAAGTGGTCGAACAAAAAATGGAAAAAAATGTCCTCGGGTGAGGAAAGGAAAAGGGAAAGGGAAAGGGAAAGGAAAAGGAAAAGAAAAAGGAAAAGGAAAAGGAAAAGGAAAAGGAAAAGGAAAAGGAAAGGAAAGGAAAGGAAAGAAAAGATGTCAACTGGTCAATAAGAGGTAGATTATTATCAACCTAGTCAACAAAATAAACTCACAAATCCTTTATGTATCTTAAACTAGGAACTCTGATTAATAAAAACAAGAAAATTTTTAAGATAAATTAATTCTACACCCAAACACACATTGTTTTGCCATTAATTTATTTCATAAAGCTTAAAGGTGATTTCTGATTTTCAAAGACTGTTCCTCAAAAGGCCACCCCAAAGTTCATATGGCTGAATACCTCTAATAAAATAATATAGTATTTAATTTTTACATTACCACATTTCCAGAAGAATTATTATAATATTCATAATGCCAACTGTTTGCTTAATAGACCTAAAATATTTTCTTAATATGTGCACTTATAATAAAACTAAACACAATTTCCCACAGTATTTAGAAATATGTTACAAGAGCCCTGGCCGGTTTGCTCAGTGGTTAGAGCGTCGGCCTGTGGTCCAGAGAGACCTGGGCTTGGTTCCTGCTAAGGGCATGTACCTTGGTTGCAGTTTTCCCCCGGCCCTGGTTGGATTGCGCGAGTGGCAACCACTCGATGTGTCGCTTTCACGTTGATGTTTCTCTCTCTCTTTCCCCCTCCCTCCCTTCCTCCCTCCCACTCTATGTGACAAAAAATGAAAAATGTCCTCGGGTGAGGATTAAAAAAAACACAAAAAAAGTTACAAGAAATGATGGCATTTCTTTAATTTATGAAGGAAGACAAAATGTAAGCAATATTCTTTCAGGACATTTTCCTGTGCTGAAGATCACAAAATACTGACAACCATTTCAATAAAATAACATTTCCTTTTCAAGTTAACATTTTGCAAGACAAATAACTACAATGAGGAAAATGTAAAATATAATTTAACATGACCTAAGTTATAAAAACATGCTTGATAATTAAACATTTCAGAAAAGTATTCTGCTGAGTAGTCAAACTAGAATTTACGTTCACTTTCCCCATCACTGGACATTCAGGCCATTTCCAAACATTTATTTAATGCCACAAAAAGAATTTTTGTGCTTACAGTTTATAATAAAGTGGTCTAGTATCTGAAAATGTTTTCCATTACCTTTGCTTCCTCCACATAGGGTGAGAATAGTCGAGGGCGAACATATATTCCAGCATTTTTTTGCCGTAACCAGGCATTTGACTTCCCACCTTCTGATGTAGGAAGTATATCTGATGGAGGAGTACTAATCAAGCCTCTTTTCATCTAGGAAAAAAATTATTTTTATACAGAGATTTGTGTAGAACTACAACCCTAAAATAAAAATAATTATACCTATAAATCAAAATGTTCAAACTTTATCATTTGTATAAAAATTTAGACATATATGTGAAATTTAAAAATACTTCAAATGTTTAATAATATTTAAAGGACTCAGAAATAAAAGGTAGTATAATTTCCTATTTTTTCTCTAAATAGAGAAATGATGTTTTTAAAACAAGAGCTATATTAATTAAAAGTGTAACAAATTGGCCCTGGCCAGTTTGGCTCAGCAGTTAGAGCATTGGCCTGCGATCCGGAGAGACCCGGGTTTGGTTCCCGCTAAGGGCATGTACCTCGGTTGCAGTTTGTCCCCGGCCCTGGTTGGTCGTGCGGGTGGCGACCACTCGATGTGTCCCTTTCACGTTGATGTTTCTCTCTCTCTCTCTCTCTCTCTCTCTCTGTTCCTCTCTCTCCCTCCCGCTCTACCTGAACAAAAAATGGAAAAATGTCCTCGGGTGAGGATAAAAACAAAAACAAACAAACAAAAAAGTGTAACAAATTGGACTAACTTTCAGAGCTCTTAATGAAAACGAATTTTTATTTTTTTCCTTACTCATCTAGGAACTGATTTCATCCCAACTCAGCTTCCCGCCCCCAAGACAAAACAAGAACTAGAGGGCCTTGTATCTGCAGTACAAGGATATAGGCAGTGTACAAGGTGCTTAGGGGCAGTGACTCTAGGGCAGTGTTCTCAACCTTCCTACTGCTGCGACCGTTTAATACAGTTCCTCATGCTATGGTGACCTCCAACCATAAAATTATTTTCGTTGCTACTTCATAACTGTAATTTTGCTACTGTTATGTCTTAGGCAACCCCTGTGAAAGGGTTGTTCGACTCCCACGGGGGTCGCGACCCACAGGTTGAGAACCGCTGTTCTAGTGGAAGGCAGACTTGGCTCAAACTATAACTCCCCACTTAACAACCTCCTGACTGTGGAAATCTCCTTTCACGGGGGCCTCACTTTAAGGACTCCTAGAGGGCCCTGGAGTTGGGACACCAAACTAACTAAATGTAGTGGCCCTGCTGTTTCCTCATCTGTGCTAGGAAAATATAAAACAAGTATCCCCAGCTCATAAAGTGGTTGTGAGGAGTAAATGAGGTTTGGTACAGTGTTTAGGACTTCAGGTTAACAGCCATTATCAGCAAACCTACTGGGGACTTATTTATTATGCAGTGGCCATGGAATTAAGACTATCAATATATTTTTTCTAAGTCTACTAACCCAAAGTTCTAAAATATTTTTCTAAACCAAATTCAGGGTTCAACTTGGTTTGAGTCCCAGATTCCCAGATTTCAAACAAAACCACATAGTTTCTCCAATATTATTCTTGTTAAACATAATAAATGTCTAATTGCTACATTAGTTAAAATTACTTTTAACTAGTAACACATAGCATTAGATAGTATTTAGAGAAAAAAACTCATTAACTCTAATCTATTACAACTGTAGTAATGTTGCTATACTTCCTTTTTTCAAATGAATTTTAACATAACTGCATTCTAGAATACATAAAATACATTTTATATCCATCTTTCTAAAATTATATTCCATTATCAGCATTTTCCATGTTGCTATGTTTGTAACTATAACCACTGCTCAGAATAGCAAAATACTCTGTTAAATAGCTGCACTATAATTTACTTATTTTCCCCATTCTTAGATATTTAGGCTATTTCCAAAAATTTAAGTACAACACTACCAATGAACCAGCTATACTTCTACTATGGAACAGTAATATTATTTTAAAAATTACTGACCTAATAGGTTAAAAATTGATAACTTACTGTATTATATTGCTTTCTTTGGGGTATGTGATTACTAGTGAGACTGAACATTTTTCTAATCAGAGATTCCATAAATATTTAATTGTTTTCTTCTAGCTTCCCATGTTTCAATTTAATATTTTATTCTTCAATCAAACAGGAATTAATTTTGTGTGCAAATGAAATGAGAGTTTAAACAAATTTCCTCCCTTCCCCATTCATCAGTCTAGTACCGCACTGATTTGTGATATGTCATTTATTATGTTTAATTCTTTTATTAATTAGGATCTTTTTCTAGGCTATGTTGTCTTGCCTATTATGCTAGCATCACAAATTAAATATTAGAGTTTTAAAATATACTTTACATTCTGGAAAAGTTATCCATCCTTAATTATGTTCTTTTTAGGGAACTTTTAAAAACTACTATATTTATCCTCTCTCTCTCTCCCATTTTTTGGGGGAGGCAACCTAAGTTTTGGTGGCCTTGCTTTGACAAGGCTTAAAAAAAAACAAGAAAAAAAAACAACCATTATGTTTACAGTATTACATTAAAGTTATAAACTAATGTATGAGGAACTAATATTTATAATATTTATCTTCCCATCCATTAATTTGAACAATGCTGTTAGTTTAAAAATTCACTTAAAATTATAAAATTAGCATGATCAGCTCCATTAATTTTTAACTGAAATACCATTATAAGATTCATTCATCTTTTTTACATTGAACCATTCTCCTTTCCTCCTGTTTTTTGATTTATTGATGTTCTTGAAGAGTTTCCAAAGATAATTTCTATCTTTTCTTATTTTAATAAGGATATATTTTATTTACACTGATAAATGCTGAATTAAATCCTAAGAAACTATCCTCTTGCAAAAGTAACAGTGATATAACTATACTATTCAACTCTCATTTATCAAACATTTGTGTCTTGTGCCAGACATGGGGGATACAATATAGTACAAAACAGACATCTGGCCCTGACCAGTTTGGTTCAGTGGTTAGTGTGTCGGCCAAAGGGTCTTGGGTTTGATTTCTGGGTTTCAGATTCAATCCCTGGCCCCAGTTGAGGTTGTGTGGGAAGCAGCTGACTGATGTTTCTCTCTCTCTCTCCCTCCCTTCATTCTATCTTTAAAAAACAAACAAACAATGGCCCAGCGGGCATGGCTCAGGAGATTGAGCACTGTCTCATGGACTGAGAGGTCCAGGTTCGATTCCTGGTCAGGGCACATGCCTGGGTTGCGGGCTCAATCCCTAGTAGAGGGCATGCAGGAGGCAGCTGATCAATGTTTCTCTCACTCATGGATGTTTCTCTCTCTCCCAATTTAAAAGAATTTTTTTTTTTTTTGGAAAAAAATCAATAGAAAATATCCTTGGGTGAGGGGAAAAAAACAACAAAAAACATTCATCTGTCTCTGACTTCAATGAATTTACAGGTTCACAATACTCTTAGTAGTAGAAATTATTTGCAATGATAAAGATAAAGCTGTACATTTTATTTCTTTTTATTAATTACTTTTTGTTACAGATGTTTCTCTCCTCCCCCCACTGACACCCTACTCTTGATCCGCCCCCTCCCTCTCCCCTTCACCAAAGCTGTACATTTTAGTTCATTTTCTTTTCATGAAAGGGGTAAATGAAGACAGACACTTACTGCGTCACTTAGGACTTCACTGTTTATAGGTAAGATGTGTTCAATTCTCACAAAAGGTAAGATAGAAGAAAGGATCTCTCGAAGCTCTTCAACATCCAGGTCTCGTCTTTTTACACCCCTTTTGTTCACACTATGAGCAGTGCCACTCAGTAAGTTTGGCTCTAGGAGACAGAAAATGAAAAGTCTCCAACCAAATCCAAACTTTCAGAGCGAGGCTTTCTTTCTTCTCCAGTACACTTTCAGTACCATTCTTTATACTTACGTACATCTTTTATAAGGGTTATAAATTATGTTTTATGAAGTTTAGTTAATAAAGATGTTCTTGGACAGAGAAAAGGCATGGGTAGGGAATGTCCAGCCTGAGGGCCCTATAAGGCCCAAGAAATCAATACCAGCTAACATCACACACCTCACCAAATTAGCCTGATCAAATATAGCAGGCTAATTTTTAAGTTGGTAATTTTGTATGGCCCTCAAATGATGTTATAAATATCCAAATGGCCCTTGGCAGAAAAAGGTTTCCCACCCCAAGAATAAAGGATTCTTTTCTATATACTAGCTCAAAGGAAAAAAGATGTCAATCTATTAAAATCTAGTTTGACTCAGGGCTTTTTCTTAAGCTTTCTCACTTTTGTGACCGGTTTTTGGTACAATAAGGACATTGTAGGGCAAGTGCTATTTCTGGTCACTGTAGGTTAACGGTGCATTCATTAGGCTACCATTTATTTAAAAGCAATTTAACAAGATACTAATCTCCTGGCAGCAAAATAAGGTATACTTCAAGATTTTTATGCTGGTCTCCCAAATTTCCATATAAATGAACCCTTTGATCTCTGACATGCATAATATATTTCCATTGTTCAGAGCAGAAAATAAAGGCTTTCTTTATTGATATTAGTGAAAGAGGAAGATTTTAAGTACTTATATGCTTATGATATTGTAGTGGGGAAATTTACATACATTTTGGGAATCTTGAATCACGTCTTTAATCTAGGGAGGTGTAATTTTTTTTAAAAAAGATCTTTGTCATCCACAAATATAAATGCTAGATATTTTGCAAAGTCTCTAGGCAAACTGCTTTTTCTCTTAAATCATGTGATAGATAAAAAGATTGTTTTTGAGAAGCTAAGCTTTTACTGTAGTCATTTGAAATAAAATTGCTGCAAGCATGTGAAAAAAGGTTTTTGTCCTCACCTTGCTATGATCTGGTTTCATACTTTTTCAAAAAAAAGTTTTCTTTAGTAGTGGTGTCTTGTTTTCAAATGAAATCTTATATTACACTCTCAAATATGTAAGAGGTAGGGGCAGAACCCTTATTCTATGAGGGCGATTGAAACAAAAGTAGCCTGGTTCACTTTGCTTCCTTCTCATCCCTGTGAAAGAGCCTGACATTCTAACCCAGTCTGAAAACAACTATTTTTTTTCAATCCTCACCTGAGGATATGCTTTTTATTGATTTTAGAGAGACAGGGAAGGGGGAAGGGGTGGGGGAGAGAGGGAGAGAGAGAGAAACACTGATATGAGAGAGAAACATCAATTGGTTGCCTCCCGTATGCGCTCCGACTGAGGAATCAAACCTACAACCTAGGTATGTGTCCTGACCGGGAATCAAACCCCAAACCTTTGGTGTATGGGACAATGCTCCTACCAACTGACCCACCCAACCAGGGCTGAAAACTACGATTTTAAGGGAAATTTCTTCAAGGATGTTGTTCATTATCTGTTCCAAATAAATATGACATTACTAATCTTATGTCAATGAAAAAGCCTATGGCCTATAATGATTATGTAACATTACATACATCCAATTCTTATTACTGTACTTGATTAACGAAGTTCCATAAAGTTATTGTGAACACTAAGGAAAACATGGATAGGTTTCAGTGAGCTTCTGATGATAACTTTATCATCTGGTCAAGACATAACTTTGACTTATGTGTTTCTGTTTAAAGATACCTTATTAATATATATGTTGATTCATTAACACTGAACTCATGGCCAACAGATAACTCATACCTGAATAAAGCTTATCTCACACACATGTTCTCTGTGAGGCATATCATAGCCTTCTTGTGCTTAGGAACTTTAGACAGCCCTACGCATTACACTTGGAGGCCATTTTAAAGAGTGAGATCACCCTCCGAACCTCATAAGAAAGTGAAAAACATGGCACTAAATACACGTTGTGAAAGGACACCTTTACAATTTAAGAGTAGAAAGAAGAAGGCAGATCATCACCATGTTCCACCTTAAGCTGGGAACATGTGCATCAGTGAACTCAAATTTTTTGTCACTCTGTACGTCTGCAAATACCCATGAAAGAGTCAAGAGAACTGATTTGGGGGTGGCAAATAAATTTTAATAAGTAGGTGCATTTGCAAATACACAATATGCAGGTAAGAGGGTCAGACTGTATACTGGCATTTCACAAATGTCCCAAATAAATAGTAATGATTATTACATTAAAAAATTCAAATCTGAGAATTATTAAAGGCTTTTGTAGGCCACAGAGAACTATATTAGGAGAAATCAAATAGGAAGACTGCTTTTGTTCCTAGTACTTGGGTAGTAGTGTATTAAAGGAATATATACAAAGGTTTGAAGGCACTTTAGCTTGATATTTTTATATCTTTAAAAACATGGCAGAACGCCCTGGCCGGTTTGGCTCAGTGGTAGAGCGTTGGTCCACAGACCAAAGAGTAGCGGGTTCGATTCAGGTCAGGGGCATGTAACTCAGTTGAGGTTTGCTCCCCAGCCCTGGCTGGGGTCATGTAGGAGGCAACCAATCGATGTGTCTCTATCACGTCTATGTTTCTCTGTCTCTCCTACTTTATATGAAGATAAAAATGGAAAAAAGTATCCTTGGGTGAGGATTTAAAAAATATGTGGCAGAACAACTCTGTAAATTTATTACTAAAAACCACTGACTTGATCACTTTAAAGAGTCGAACTTTGTGGTATATAAGTTATATCTAAATAAAGCTGTTGAAAATGAAAGGGAAGGAAAATCTATATTTAATTTTTCTAATTAAAGTTTTTTGTTTTGGGTTCATTATATAGGAATTCAATATTCTATGAGAGAAGAAGTACAAGTGGGTGGACTAAACCTAGATATAAATAAAAGAATCATAAGCTTCCAAAACTGAAAGTCCCCTCCTTCAAATGATGCTTCCATCTTTTCTAAAGTATCCCCACTCAAAATTATTTCTCTTTGCCTTCCACAAAATTTAAAAATAAACAGCAAATATGCTCTTTTGGGGTGGTCATATATTTTTTTATTGAGGTAAAATTCACATAACATAAAACTCACCATTTTAATATATTAAATATATTTTTAATATATTTAAAATGTTGCACACCTATCTCCACTCTCCAATTTAGAACAATTTTCATCAACAATATGCATTGTAATACTTTATTAAATGAAAACTTTTATTCTACTACTTCTATAAATCATTCAACATTAAATATTAAGCACACAGAAAGATAACATTAAAAGTATCCTGCCCTCGCTGGGTAGCTCAGTTGTTTGGAGCATCATCTAGATATGCTAAGATTGTGTGTTTGATCCCCAGTTAAGGCACATAACAAGAATCAACCAATGAATGCATGGATGAGTAGAACGACAAATCACTGTTTTTCTCTCTAAAAATCAATAAAATTTAAAAAGTATCCTTTTAAAGTTGTAAAATATAAGTTCTTTGGTATGTTTATTTCTAATAAAGTAGACCCTCTCCACTAAAGAATTTTGCCAATTGTAAAAATTTTTATTTTCACTAGGCAACAGTGGCTATTATCAAGACTGGTATGTAGCATCATATCAGTAAGCTTTTGGGAAAAACACTGCAAGCTAATTTTCTGATCTTACCTCTGTCTGCTATTCTTTTCATCAGCTGGTGCTCGCCCCATTTAATCAGATATTTAAGGATATCTTGTTCACTAGCCTGTAAAAAAAAATGGTTCATACTTATTTTGGTGAAATTAGATAAATGGTTAATTTCATTAATGGCTTCTCCTAGGTCATAAAGTAAATATAGCATGCAACTTACCTACTACATTTCATTCTTTACACTGGCTGTCTGAAATGTTGGAGTTAAACTGTGGTCCGTCAATAGCAAATACACAAGACTGCATTACATAAGTTTTGTCCAGAAACCTCATTCTTAGCTCCACCTAAATTCTTTATTCTTATTTCCATCTTTTTTTCTCTTCACCTATTTGAAATTTATTTTATCTTATTACATGGTCTTTATACAGCTGCCTTAAATTCTTTTTGGGATAAGATGGAGATAAATAAAATTCAAAGTATACGGATGCAGAGTGGCTACTACCCCCTGCAGGAACAATCCCTACAAGACATTCTACGGATTGGTGAAAGACCCTGTAAGCACAATTTGTGATGTGGCAATGTGCTGCTCATTTCTTCGTATTTTATCTAAAATCTTAAAGCAAATATAGGCTGCTCTCCAAGGTTTTACTTTCTAAGAAGAAACACAAAGTTTCTAAAGACAATAATCTGAGAGAACTGACAAATTCTAACTCCCATAAAGCATGCAGTCTGGATCAGAACAGTAAAACAAGGTTAATGAACACAGATCCTAAATAAATCCAATCCAATATGACAACATTTGTACTGCAATCAAAGCACAGATACTAAGTGGATTATTTAACTCTTCACTGCATTTCTGACTGAGGTGAAAGCATTTTATAACTTCTCTAGTACAACTATAAAATAATAGAAAATGGCTCAATGGGTTTTTATGTCTTTATAACGTTAAAACTGCTGTATAATTTCAGCATAAATTTCATACAACCAATGTAAATGAAAATTAAGCTTAAACATACCTTACCTAAAAATATTTTTGCAGTATTTTAAATCTGTTTGTTTTAATTACCAAATTAGATGGATATATAAGAATACAGAATTTCCTAAAAACTGCTTCTGATTAAAAATAAGTAGTTGAAAACATTATTGTACTTTGGCAGTACACATACACACAAAATTTTCATGAGCATTTGAGTAGATTATAAACTTTTATTACTACTTTGTGCTGTTTAAGCTACGGTCTACAGTCTAAGTGTCTTACACTCCACCAAAAATAAGAAACTGGTATAGTGAACTTATTAGTGGAAGCCAAGAAAATCACTGTTGGGATGTGCTTCTGACCCTGCCTACTGCCTCAACCTCTTAAGATATTGTTGGTTAGGACCCAGGATGGTTCACAGTGTTGAGCCAGCAGCAGAGTGCATGAAGGGCCCGAGAGCTAGAAGGCTCTGTTGTACAAATGTGAAGAGGGCATTCCTGGGTGGGTTGGTCTCCCTAGATGGGAGAACAATAGAGTACAGATGGGTTTCTTGGTGCACAAATGAATGACAATGAATCTGAGAGGTGTATAAATGATTACCTGCAGGTAGTCAGACTGGATAGCAGTAAGCAGATGGTCTTTGCTGAGCTCATAAAAAACATCCGAAGTCATGACCTGGGAAAATTCCTCACAGAGGAAATGTAAAGCTTGTCGGTGCACCCACTTAGAGCCATATGGATGAGAGCTCCACTTGAGGATGGCAATTAAGGTATCTAATGATATGCTCTCAGCAATGATATCCTCACAGCCTAAAAGAGAAGGCAAATACTTCTTGAGATTAATCATAAATATTACTTAATGAACATTAGTGTGTTAGACGCTATACTTAAAAGTAGCAATAGTAAAAAAAAGAACAAGGAGATAAATAAAATCTCATGGAAATCACCAAGACTTGGTGGGATGGGGTAATAACAAGTAACAACAGACTATAACTTCTATAGGAAAGCTGCTGTTCTAGAAAGACAGATCCATAGAAAATGGCAGGGAATCCTCACAATTGTTTAAGAAAATAAACATCTATGTGAAAATCCCACTGTGAATAAGAACTATAGTGGAGGACACTGAACCAAAGGGAAAAGAAAAGTAGGTAGAAATGATAGAGTTGTGGGAACTGGTTAGAGGAAGAATATGGATGACACTTGATTAATAACAAGAATTTGCACTTGCGAAGAAGACAGGTGGGTTATCTTCTACGAACTATTAGGACATCTGCTCTTTGTATCATTCTAATAAAAAACAACAGCTTGTACTTTGATAGTTTAATCCCTCAGAATACAGATAAAATTTTGCAGTTTCATATTCATCTGGGATTCATTCTGGTGAATTTAAAAAAAAAGTAGTTAAAGTGAAGAGAACCAGGAACCTGGAGAAAATGACTATGGCACCTTAAGAATTCAAAGAAAAGAAAATCTGAGGTTAGTCAGCTATTTTCCTTAGGAAAGATCATTTTAAAATATAAAGATAAATTATAAGTAAAATCTGAGTGACAAAAATCGTGGAAGGGGAAACAGCAAAAGTTGGACAGAAATTCTTTATAACTAAGTTTACTAAAAAAATAAAGAAGGGCCCTGATAATACTGGGGGGAGGGGGTGTTTACACCACCAACAACAAAAATGTAGCTAAACAGGCTGCTCTCTAATGATATAGCCAAAAGACAGTACATCAGTGAATTCCAAAGACTTCCAAAGCTCAAAATTACTATGAAACAATGCAAGGTGAAAAGAGAAAGGTAATAAATCTTATTTTCAGGTGACAGATCATTAGTAACCAATACCAAGTGTGCAAAAAATAATGCTGCATTATTCCCTTTTCTAATATGGTACCAGATAAGGAGAATATCATAGAGAATTGTGTAACCCAATTTCTGCAGAACATTTAACAAAATACTTCCTGCTATCTCTAGATTGTTAGCTCCACAAAACAGGGACTGCTGTCTTCACTATCTCTAGCGTCTTCTTGTACATGGTAGGTGCTAAATAAAAATCTGTTGAATGTACAAATGAGATCTTTGCAGATATGAAGAGATGTAGATGGATAACAAAACAATGGTTAATAAAACCATTTTTTAAAAATATGTTTTTATTGATATTTTAGAGAGAGAGGGAGAAATAGAAACATAGATGATAGAGAAACATCGACCAGCTGCCTCCTGCACGCCCCCCAGTGGGGATCAAGCCTGAAACCTGGGCATGTGCCCTAACCGAGAATCAAACTGGAACCTCTCAGTCCATGGGACAATGGTCAATCCACTGAGCCACTCTGGCCGGGCTAACAGAACCATTTGTAAGTAGCAGTGATTACCTTGGAGAATGGACTGGGGAGTCGCTGTTTTTGTAATGTTTACCAAGAACTTGAAAGAAGATGTGGAAAGTATGTTTCAAAATCTCCAGATGCCCTAAAACTGGGAAACACAGTAAACAATACACTGGATAACATGATTATAATTGGCTATAATGATGGGTCAAAATGAAAATGAAATATAACTAGAAAAAGCAGTATGTTCTATATTTAGATCAAAGAAAATCAAATGCACAGATGATGGAGGAGAGTTAGCTTAACTACCACCTATGCAAAAATAATATCCGGGTATTTTTTTTTCTTTATTGATTTGAGAGAGGAAGGAAGGAGGAGAGAGAGATAGAAACATCGATGAGAGAGAACATCAATTGGCCGCCTTCTGCCCCCCCCCCCCCGGGATTTGGCCCACAACCTGGGCATGTGCTCTGACAGGGAATCAAACCAACGACCTCTCAGTACATGGGTCAACGCTCACCCATAAGCCACACTGGTCAAGTTAATATCTGGGTATTTTAAGTAAATGAATGTAAAATGCAACATGGCTGCTATAAAGCTGAAGCGATCTCAGGTTTTTAACATACAAGCATACAAGCACAGAGTCCTAATCAAAGGAATAATGTGGTACTGCTCTCCTTTGGGTTGCTGTGTGCTGTTCTGGCCCCTGTGCTTTAAGATGGGGCACTGACAAAACTCCAGAATCCTCAGAGGAGAAAGTTTAAGACTGGTCATAGGAGAAAAGGTCCAAGCAAACAAGATCATTTGGCTTACGTCTCTGAGGACAGACTAAGAGCTATCTTTACATGTCTGATGGACCTTCATGAGGCAAAGGAGAAAGGACTGACTTCTCTGTTCTTCCTAGGGCAGGTCCTGGGAAATAGATATTAAAAGGAAGATCTTGACTCAATATTAAGAAATATTTCTAATTTCAAGTTTATAACAAGCATAACTGCTCTCCTCTCTTCCCTTCATAAAAGAAAATCTTCTAGTGCAGTGGTTCTGAACCTATGGGTCGCCACCCCTTTGGGGGGTCGAACGACCCTTTCACAAGGGTCGTCTAAGACCACTGGAAAACAAAATTATAGTTATGAAGTAGCAACGAAAATAATTTTATGGTTGGGGGTCACCACAACATGAGGAACTGTATTAAAGGGTCGCAGCCATTAGGAAGGTTGAGGACAACTGTTCTAAAGAAATGTAGGAATATATCACATTAGAAACAGAGGACAAAGGACCTACAATAGATATGGAACTAAGGTCGGATGACATTTAAGCTGCTTCCATTATAAAGATAGTCATTTTTAGAAAAATGATAAGAAAGTAAACATAATAATTAAATCTAAAAATTAAAATGTAATTTAAACGTAAAAATGAAATCCTTATGAAGAACACCAAGACCACCACGATGATATCTGCATATAAACACCACCCAAAATCATGAATATGTGCTGATGACTCCTGGAAAATATGGAATAGTTCTGAACAGTTCTTGTGATTTTACGGTAAGCCTTGAATGCCACGCTTAGGACAGGCCTCTTCCAGTAACCAATGGAGGACTTCTGTCAAGTCTGTTTTAAAGTAGGCATTGGACTAGAGTTGAGTATGAAGAATCAATCTGACAGAAAAGGCAATCTGACAGATGCATTTAGGAATGAAGAAGGGGAAATTAGGGGAAAAAAAGTTATTTAAAAGGATGTATTAAAATCCTACTAAACCAGAATACTGGCAGAGGTAAAGAAATAAAACTAATGATAACATATTATTTAAACTTGAGGTTTACAGAAAAGTTAAGACACAGGAAGAAGAAAATGGGTTTTAAAATAATACAGATTGAACTAGAAATCCAACTTTGACCACTTAGAAGCCAAATCACTTAACCTCTCTGAGCCTGAAATGTGCTCATTTGTAAAACTGGGATTAAACTCCTAATTCAGGGTTGTTGTGAGGTTGAAATGAGACTTTACTCTTGACACCCTTCATTCGTTCCAACATTCTGGAGTACCCACTTGCCAAGCGCTGTGAATGCCAGCTCCTTTTACTGCACACTTTCCTGAGTGATGTCATCTGTCTCCGTGGTCCTAACTCTCACTGCATTCTTATGAATTTCAAGTCTACAGTTCCAGAGCAGGGCTCTCTCCTGACTCCCAGATGCACTCCTTCAACTTCCCAATGGAGAGTTCCACATTGAAATTCTGCAGACATCTTAAATTCAAGCCATTTATTTCCTCTGAGAAATCCATTTTAATCCCCGTTTTAAAAAAGGATATCTAACCCTGGCTAGGTAGCTCAGTTGGTTAGAGCATCATCCCAATATGCCAAGATTGCAAGTTCAATCCCCAGTCAAGGAACATACAAGCAACCCATGAAAGCATAAATAGGCCCTGGCTGGTTTTGCTCAGTGGTTTGAGTGTCGGCCTGCGGACCAATGAGTTGCAGGTTCGATTCCAGTCAAAGGCCCATACCTAGTCCCCATCCCTGGTTGGGGTTGTGCGGGAGGCAGCCAATCAATGTGTCCCTTTCATGTAGATGTTTCTCTCTCTTCCTCTCTCTCCCTCCCACTATATCTGAGCAAAAAAAGGAAAAGGAAAAATATCCTTGGGTGAGGATAAAAAAAAAAAGAAAGCATAAACAGGTGAAACAACAAAGCAATGTTTCTCTCAAATCAATGAAAGAAAAGAAAAGAAAGAAAGAAAGAAAGAAAGAAAGAAAGAAAGAAAGAAAGAAAGAAAGAAAGAATAAATATCTCATCTCCTTAGTAACCACAGCCAGAAACCTGAGTACTGGTTCTTTCTCCCAAAGCCCATATCCAAGCTACCATCAACTGTTGACCACTCTATTATTTTAAATCCATCCCCTCCATTGAAATTGGATCTCAGTGTCACTCACAAAAATTAACTCAAAATGGATTAAGAATTTAAATGCTAGACCTAAAACTATAGAACTCTTAGAAGAAAACTTCAGAAAAAAGCTTCTTGGCAATGACTTTTTGTATATGACACTAAAAGCAAAAATCAACCAGTGGGACATCAAACTAAAAAAGCTTCTGTAGAGAAAAAGAATCAGTAAAATAAATAAAACTTACAGAATGGGAGAAATATTTGCAAACCATGTATCTAATAAGGGGTTAATGTCCAAAATATATAAGAAACTGATACAACTCAATAGTAAACAATCTGATTAAAACACAGACAGAAGCCCTGGCCAGTTTGGCTCAGCGGTTAGAGCGTCGGCCTGCGGTCCAGAGAGGCCTGGGTTCAGTTCCCGCTAAGGGCACGTACCTCGGTTGCAGTTTGTCCCCGGCCCTGGTTGGGTCGTGCGGGAGGCAGCCACTCAATGTGTCCCTTTCACATCAATGTTTCTCTCTCTCTCTCTCTCCCTCCCACTCTGTCTGAACAACAACAACAAAAAAAAACCAGAAAAATGTCCTTGGGTGAGGATAAAAAAAACAAAACA